ATATCTCGTAACAATAAAGGAGGCTGTTCTGCATTTGGTTATTGGCTATGATTGTTTGATAATATGCTTCAGGATTTGAGAGAAATCAATATAGCGTCAATCAATCCACATCGATAGCCGCGCACTAGATTATTTTCAATTTTTATTTCCAGTCAGCGTCCTTTTTAAGCTTGCTCTGCTTAAAAAGGAACGAGGTAAAGGAACAGCAACAAGGCATTGTTAATCTGCCCTTCATTGCCATCAGAACGGATAAGAATACCAACGTGGAATGCAATGTTTCTTCTGATGAGGGAGTCTCCGGCTACCAGGGCTATTACTCGTTTTTGGGCAGACACTCTTTTAGAAAAGATCGTCATAAAAATCAGTTTCTTAAACTACAAACAGCTTGTAGAGTCTTTTCTAGTAGGAAATATTATTAGGGCAAATTGAGTTGCTGTCTCCGGAGGAGGGAGACGAGGGCTTCGATTCAATAATACAAGAATGATATATCAATGCAGAACAACGTTCTTAGAGGTTCGCAACGTTATTTTCTACCACCTCATTTCTTACTTTGAATTATAGTCATAAATGTTAGTTCAATGTCTTTATTTTTTTAWAGGGTTCAATACATTTTCAACCTTGATCAACATTGAAGTTCTACAGAAAATGAATTTARAAATGAATCAGCAAACTTCCCTTGGGTTTTTCATGGACATTTTCCAAAATCGATTTTATTGTGTTCACTGTCCTCCCTTTGGTATTTTTCCGGGCACATATATTTTCACGCAGGTCGTCAGAAAAACCGTCATATATCTGCGTAGGAGATGGGGTATCAAAAGAGCTTCCATAAGCTGGTTTATGTGCTTTGGACCGTCTGATTTTCAGTGAAAGCTTTAAGCGCTTTTAGTGAACAATGAACGTTCTTCTATGATGAAAGTAAAACTAACAGTAGAATTATTTTTGAAGAAGCTAATGGTGTGTTAGAATCTTTACTGGGGCTTAGGTACACCATCAAAGAAAGAAGCATTAACTCATTGTAGATGGATGTTGATTTGTTGATTTTTGAGCTTTTTCGACCCTAAAATCTTGATAAAATAATTGACKTCCATATAAGGTGCTGTAAATAAAACTATTTCGGATTTGAATTCGCTAGGGAGCATTGAATAATGCAAGGTCTTGTAAATTTAGGTCAGACCGTTTGTTTATCAACCGATTGAGCCCAAATTTACCTAAAAACCCGTTTATAAGTGGTTTTTTTTTTAGCTTTTTGTTGTCACAGGAGCCCCTAGGCTTGCATCATTAAGCTTGACTAGTCGGCAGAGACAATCTTCTGGAAGAAATCAGAGGTGGAAAGCGATTTTTCGAAGACAATGGCTCCAAGTCACGGTTTGTTTTGAACTGGAGACATCATTGTAAGATCGCTTTCCTGGTCCATCTGTGGCAGATTTTCCAACCTACCAAGGTAATTTTGGCAATATTTGACAACCAAAGAATGCAATTGGCCCGATATTTTGCCTGTAGGTGC